CTGGGCCTGCGAGCTGGAACGAGCCATGCTCCTTTTCCGCATCCTCTTCTTCCGCAAGCTGGTGCTCTTCGTCCTCCGGATCGTCATCGAAGACCAAACGTCGCTTGTCCTCACGCGCGAAACGAGCGCTGCTGGGCATGATAGCGGAATCCTGCATACTGAGGCTATCGGACGAGCTTCCTGCCTGCGGCTCTTCGTGCTGCTTGTCTAGAGCGATGATGTCCGTCAGTGCAGCTTGAATGGCTTCCATCCTCTGAGACTGTTCCTGCTGCTCTGCGTCTTCCGGATCATCGAAGAGAGGAGCACGAGCGGCGGACGTGGATGGGCTCTCCTGAATCGGGGACATTAGCACTTGCAAGTTGGAGACTGCAGGTCTCGGTGCAGGCGCGGGCGCTCCAGCAGGCGAAAGCGGTGAAGCCACCCGACCAGACGAAGGACCGCTAACGGACGGCGAGGTCTCTGACCGTGCTATGACTGGTTTCCCGCTGGTCAGCAAGGGCTGGCTTCGGCCACGCACAGGTCTCGCGGCGTAGCTTGCTTCAGAAGGATGTCGAGTGGAGGTCGGAGAACGGCTGCCTCCGGTAGTGGACGAATCGTCTGCTTTACCACCATTGGCCTGAATGTCAGCAATGGCGCGGAACCAAAGCTCGGAGCGTTGGAACTCCTCGAAATCCTGCTCCATCTCCCTCTCTACTTGTCTCTGGGCTAGCATGACGCTGCGGCGGACACGTCTCTCGGATGCAGGGGTGGACGTCTCGGCGCTCTGTCCGAATGAGCGAATGGTGTTGATGTGCTTCTGTGAGACCGCGCTGAGCACAGGATCGGGGACAGGGCTCGAGAAGTAGAGCTCGTTGATCAGCGAGATGTCCTCCTTGAGAGTTGCGGATTGCGCAGGATTCAACAAGGGCTCATCCTCCTCGTCCGAGCTTCCGGAGTCCACGGACTCCAAAGGGTTTTTGAAGCTCTCGACAGTCAGCCAGAACTGTACAAGGAGGGAGCGTTGTCGTCGGTCCATGAACTCCATGAAATACGAGAGTGAGCTCGGGTTGGTGAGGACGTCTCGAAGCGTCAGCGGTGAGGCGATAGGAGCCTCCTGGTAGATCGTTTGTCGCTAGAAAGCGCATCAGTGCATGCAGAAGGTACAGCGAGGGGAGTTCTCACCGAATCGGCCTCGCCGCCCAGAACCACGATGCGCTTCTCGACCTTCCGCTTGGCAGTGTAGAGGCGATCCAGGAACGCGACGATATCCTCTGTCTTCTCGCCATTGATCCACTCGGAGTTGGCATTGTTCGCTGAAGTAGGAGCGTCACTAACATCCTCATCCGCACTGCTAACTGACAAGCTCACCAAGCAAAGCCCGCGTTCGCCTGATCTCTCCCATGATGTCGCTCCTCAGCCTCCGAGCGTCCAGCAACGAAGAGCACCTATTGATACTTCGGAGGAACGACTCGAACTCCTTCCCATCGGTCCGAATTGTGATGGTCTCTGTGGTAGCACTGGGCACGTCCGCCAGGCGAGCATTCTGACGCGGAAGCTGGGCTTCGAGGATATGTCGTACTTTGGAAATGAGGCGTCTAGGTATAGCGAGCAATTAACTCGTGTTTCAAACAGTCAGCACCTTGTTGAGACGCACTGTTGACGTATGGCGGCCCCTGCCTGAGTCAGGTCAGAAGGTACATGGACGGTAGACCGCCGCTACTCACGACTTGGTCAATCATGCGATTCCAGAAGTCGGGGTCTGCTAGCATTTCCATGATAGGGTACAGGACAGAACAGGCCACTATCTCTCTGACGACTATCTTGACTGCGCGACTGCGAGCTTCCTTCTCCGGGAGGATGTGTGGAAGAGCCTTCTCGACTAAACCACGAAGGTGGTTCTCCTCCGTCTGCTTCGTGAACGTCGAGGACAGGTTGTCGACTGCGGGATGCAACTTCCCTCCGCCTCTCGCGGCGTAACGACTAGCCAGCAGGATGTCGAGCTCCTCCGACTGGGTGAGCTTACGCTCGAGGCCAGCACCGCGGAGGGCCATCTCGGATTGACGGAATTGTTCGATGTGCGCGGTGACTTTGGGGAGTATACGCTTCACAACCAGGGCCGGCAAATCGAGAGTGGTAGCTCTTTCAAGGAGACGTTCCATTGAGCTATGCAGAGTAGACGAGACCGCGGTAGGGAACGAGGGCGATGACGAGATCTCCTTATACCATACTAGAACGAAGTCGCGCACAATGAGAATCAGAATATCGTTGATGGCGGCGGACACGACAGGCGCATCGGGGCAGAGCGGTGGCAGGGATTGTGGGGCCTTGTGCGACCATTGTGATCGCGTCAAGACTGCTTGCCAAGCTGCGGGGGTAGAGAAGGCGAGCGGTCGCGCAGCCGTCGTAAGAGCATTCCTGGGAGCAGGTCGTATGGAGTCTAGAAGATATCCGAGCGCTACGTTGAGGACAAAGAATCCGACCACGACGAGGAGGATGAGCAAAGGCAGGAGCAGAGCCAGGGTTACCGGGGACGCCAGTATGCGGTTGAAGACGGGTACACCGAGCCCTACAACCAACAACGCAAGGACTACATGCCTGCCGGATAGCGGCATCAGCTCGAGGACGTGCCGTCGTCGCTCAGCACGTCGAGCAGATGGTGGTCGGGAACGTCAAGCGTCCGAGCGTCGCGCGCGGCCCGACGTGCTCGGCAAAGACCCCGGGGACCCCTGTCCTCCCCCGTCTCAATTTCAGTGGGTTTTATCCTTGTCGACTTTGGCGGTCGCCAGGCTGCTTTTAGCAGCGCACTGCGCAGGCTTTCGTGGAACCACCGTGGCGGCCATCAGTATATTCTGATGTTTGGCGGAGAGAAGGTTGGGGAGACCTGGGCGGCGCAAAAGGAATTTGACTGTGATTTTGACGAGGACTTCGACCGGATGTCTTCTGCAAACGATCCTTGATCACCTCCACAGCAGCGTGATGAACCTCTTGAACACATTACATCTCTACCGTCTCTCATGCGGAACTCCTCCGCGACATCCGTTGACAGGCATGGGCGACGCGCGAACTGCGCAGATACTCGAATGAGCCGGGGACGACAGCCACTGCCAGCCCATCGCGCGATCGCAATTAATAACATAATCGCGGCTACCCCGCGTTCGACACTCGATGCAGCGCCCGGCTAATGACTCGCATGCCGGCCAGCACTCCTTGACCTTCCACGTTCCACTGCTCAGCCCTGCTCGTACCGCTTGCCCAGGATGAGTGCACCGGCGGGGTCCAGCAGACCTCTATCCACGATAGAAGGCTTCGTATGCGGTGGAATGGCGGCGTGCGTAGCCGTAAGTCGCGCTATAGCCCTTGACGCCCCATGTCGTGACGCGCGCTCTGCACAACATAGGTGACGGTGTCCAACCCAGCAGAGGTCGCCAAGACGCGGATGCAGCTGCAGGGGGAGCTGGCGAAGAAGGGAGGAGCAAAGGTGTACAAAAACGCGCTGGATGTGATTGCCAAGACCTGGAGAAACGAGGGCCTGCGGGGTATTCAGAGAGGCTTGGGCCCTGCGGTGAGTGCCCATTCAGCGGGTCGAGCAAGCTCACTCCAACTGCGCATGCCTCTCTGCAGTATGTCTATCAAGTGAGTGCATGCTCGCTGCGCCCGTCCCACGAGGTCCTGACCGTATCCAGATCCTGATGAATGGGTCCCGACTCGGTACGTCATACCCACTGCTGGGCAGTTCAAAGTAATTCACCTGCCCTTGTGCAGGTTTCTATGAGCCCATACGGAGACAATGTAACCGGCTCATAGGTGCGGACCCTACGGATCAGATACCTTTGACCTCCGTATTCTCTGGTGCAGCAAGTGGGATCATTGGAGGTCAGATCATCCCCTCCGCAGAACAACTCGGGCCGCTGACTCCAGAAGTATAGCGAGTCTTGGGAACCCGTTCTTTTTGATCAAGGCGCGAATGCAGGTAATGCCCGCGTGTGCCTCATGACAAGGGCTCCTCGCTGATGGTCTCTCTGAAGGCCTATTCGCCTGTACTTCCTGTCGGCGCTCAGCACTACTATAAGAACTCGTTCGATGCGTTCAGGAATATCTGGCATGCGGAAAGGTTCCGTGGTCTAGTGCGAGGCATCGACGCAGCAGCCTTACGGACGGCCATGGGCTCATCCGTCCGTTTTATCTCACACATTACTTGCTCCTGACTGCTTACCTGTCGCTTGCTCTTTCAGGTACAACTACCAACCTACAACTGGACCAAAAATCAGCTTGTCAGCCGCGGCATCTCCAGCGGAGACAGCATCTGGACGTTTCTGGCGAGCAGTTCGGTGTCTGGCCTCTGCGTGGTACGCCTGCCTTCTCGTCACATTGCATGTTCATCTTCTGATGATCTCTCAAGCTGACTATGATGCAACCGACGGATACTGTACTGACGCGGATGTATAATCAACCTACAATACGCACGCCGGATGGAAGGCACGTAGGGGCCCTGTACAAGAATCCCTTCGACTGCCTGTGGAAGACGCTCAAAGCGGAAGGCCCGCTCGGATGGTACAAGGGTGAGCGGTGCTTCTCCCTTGTAAACCGTCACACTGATCTGAGACAACATGTTTCTAGGCTCGACGGCGCACTTCCTCCGTATAGTACCACATACGTGAGTGACTGTTATGCGTGTTTGCCAGCGTATCCCATGACCATACCTTCCTTACAGCATTGTCACCCTCACCGCAAACGACCTCATCGTCGGGCTCTATAAGCGTGTTCGGGACGGCCACGTATAATACTAGTGCCATACTACAGTTGTGATAATGTTAATGATGCCAGCGTTGGTGCAGCAGCGCCGAGAGGCATCTGTTGAAATCCGTCGTGACCATCGGCTGGTATGAGCACTGCCAGAGAAATCGAGGATCGATTGTTCTACAGTACGATAGCAATACTACTACTCGAGTACTTGAAGACATGCCCGAGGCAGGACGTCTCTCGCATGTTGATGCGGCTCAAAGGGGCGTGGCGACAAAAAGTGAACCCTGCCCGGATCGAACGGACGACCTTGAGGAGTTCCCTCGGGAAGATAATGCTCCACCAACTGGAATCTCACGCGCTACCACTGTGCCAAGGGTTCTTGTTGACGCTGAAAAATTACTAGATATCCTCACTTAGCGGCTCATCCTGTCCCAGTTCCACGAAGCGCCCTTCTACACGAACTGCGAGGAGTCCGAGTGGACAGGGCATCGATATTGTCCACTTATGTTAACTTGCATGAAGACAGCTCGTCCTGCGACATCTTTACTTGCAGTTGGAGGGTGACTGAATAGCAACCACCTGTCGCCCCCCTCCGATTGGTGTGTGAGTGCATGTGCCTATCCGACAAGAACCCTTGGCACAGTGGTAGCGCGTGAGATTCCAGTTGGTGGAGCAATCCACCCAAGGGAAGTCCTCAAGGTCGTCCGTTCGATCCGGGCAGGGTTCACTTTTTGGGGGCGTCTTATTCTGTGCACCTGGGACGTCTCACATACCAAAACCAGTAGCGGGGTTGAGCGTGCCCATGTACGCGAACCGCAGACCGGAGAGGAAGAGAACGCCCACGTCCGTGTCGCTCGGAATGGACGGGAGTGCATTGGCCGGAGAGCGGGAGGCGTGTGTTCCGCGCGCGTGGGCGTGGATCTGGCAGTGTGGCACTGGCACTGGCACTGGCAGGTCGGAGTCGAGTCGAGGATGCTCAGGAGAATGCGATCGGAGTCGACCCCCCGATGGATGCGGGGAACCGTACGCGTGCACTCACTGCGTCCCCAACGGCGGCTGCTTGCATGCCCTCCCCTCCGACGCTGCTGTCCGTGTCGTACCATCTCTGCCTGCCGCACGCCCTATATCCGCCTTCTGCCGGCCGCTCGTCGTGTAATCTCGCAAAAACGCCTGCGGGCTAGCACTGCGATACCAGGGTGCCGCCATCGCCTGTACTCTTGACACTTGCTTGACACCGGAGGCCGGCAATTATACCACCCCCTTCGGCTGCTCGGATATCCAGCTCAACACGGACTTCGCATCTCTATATACCTCCTGTCGGCCTGCGTTCACCCGGTCCACGTACACCCCTTCTATCCCCTCCAGCAAGCAGCACCCGCAGGAGCCCACCGCAGACATGGCCAAAGCAGGTCCATCGCTGCCCACCGCGAAGACCATCCAGGTCGACACGCGAGGGGCTATGATCCTGGACGAGGAGTCGCCCGAGGTACGTCCGCCGCATGCATGAATCGCGTCAGAGAGCGCACTTCTGAGGTTCTCGGGATCCGCGCTGCGCACCTTTGTCTCCCCATTCCCTCTCCGCGGCACACCTTTGCTCCCATGCTCTCCGTCCCCCTGGTACGCGCAGACACGCGACAGTCGCGGCATTTACTTCCCCAACTACATCGAGCCCGTGTCGCACATAGCAGTCGATGTGAGTACGGCCGTGACTCTCGCTAGGGTGGCTGCTCAATTGCTCATCGCGGCGTACAGATCGGAGGCTCGTTAGCGAAAGTGATCTACTTCACCCGTTCGACCAATCCCCCATCATCCCCCTCACAAATCGCAACCCGTGGATCAAGTCCAAGTGACATCTATACCCCTCTATCCTCTTCACCGACCAAGGACAGCCCCTTATCCTCACCACCCACATCCGCGAAACTCAATGGCCACCCGAAGGGCGCGCTCACGCCCGCAGTCCTTGAGCACTGCAACGGCCATGGAAGCTACCTGGACGTCCCGACACATCGACATGACGGCACTGTTCACACCGCGCACGCGGAGACGACAACGGCCTCCGCATCGTCCACGCTGAACGGCACCGCGACCGCGTCCCTCTCCCCGGAATCCGTGCATCACAACCTCCTACACGACTCGCTCCTCCGGCGGGCGTCGGTGCAGCACTTCCCGGGCGGCTCGCTCAACTTTGAGCGGTTCGAGACGGAGCACATCGACGAGTGCATCGAGTTCATCCGCACGCTCATCGAGCGCTCCGCCGCCGTGAACGGCGTGCCGCTCGAGGAAATGCGTCGCGGCGTGAAGGTGATCGCGACGGGCGGCGGCGCGCACCGGTTCTACGAGCTGCTCGGCGCGGAGCTGCAGGTGGAGGTGCACCGCGAGGACGAGATGGCGTGCCTCATCGAGGGCCTCAAATTCATCACGCTCATCCCGGACGAGGTGTATTACTTCTCGGACGAGCTCATCCACTCGGTCTCGCACCCGAACCAAGCGCAGCTCGAGCGGCCCAGCCCGGACCCGCCGAAGTACGCGGTGTCGTTCGTGCAGGACCCCGTGCCGCAGCTGCCGTGTCTGCTCGTGAACATCGGCTCGGGCGTGTCGATCGTGAAGGTGGACGAGGACGGGTCGTATGAGCGTGTCAGCGGAACGAGTCTAGGAGGCGGTACGCTCTGGGGTCTGCTCAGCCTGCTCACGCCTGCGACGACGTTTGACGGTGCGTGGATCCTCGTATAAGTGGAGTGCGCGGTTTACTGACGTATACCGCAGAGATGCTCGCGCTCTCCGAGAAGGGCAACAACGAGACTGTCGACATGCTCGTCGGAGACATCTATGGTTCGGACTACAGCAAGCTCGGGCTCAAGTCGACGATGATCGCGAGCACGTTCGGCAAGGTGTTCAAGAAGCAGGGCGGCAAGCGCGGCACGTTCAGCCCCGAGGACATCAGCAAGAGTCTGCTGTACGCGATATCGAACAACATCGGGCAAATAGCGTACGTCTCGTTTGCCTCTCCCTTCTGTTCTCTGTCGTCCTTCTGCATTCGCCGAGGGCTGCTAAGTTAGCGTCCCTTGGCGGCGCCTGTTTTCACTCGCCGATCCGCTAAGGACATGCTTATTTACGCCCGATCGCTGCTGTTTGCAGATACATGAACGCGGAAAAGTACAATCTAGACCGGATATACTTTGGAGGGTACTTCATTCGAGGTACGTCATGCGCGACGCCACAGACGTCTATCTTCGTGGGGGCGCGCGCGCATAGTGCGCGCATACGAACCCGAGCGCGGTGTCGCTGATGGCGGTCGCAATCTGGCGCAGGTCATGCGGCGACGATCAGCACGCTCTCGTACGCTATCAGGTTCTGGAGCAAGGGCACGAAGCGTGCGCTGTTCCTGCGGCACGAAGGCTTCCTGTGAGTGTGGTTGGATCCTGGGCCGTCGCGCCTCGGGATGTTCCCGTTTGCTGATCAGACTTGGGTTCTGCGGCGGCGATTGACAGGGGGGCAATCGGCGCGTGGATTAAAAACATCGGGGAAGGCGAGGAGGACGAGAGCTAGAGCGAGAGGTTGATCGTTCCGGCCGGGTTCAAGTTTTGGGCACGCGCACGTCTGCATAGGGGTATATTTATCTGAGAGGGCGGATCTTAGCAGGTACAGCAGCTAGTAGTGTATGCGGAAGTATAATACGACGTGTGCTCGGTGGTGGCGTGGCATGCACCGCACCGCGCATCGCATTAGACAACGTTGGGTGACATCGGAGCGACTGTGATGGGAGCAAGACGGAACGCACAAATGAGAGGCTGCATGGGAAGAGAAGCTGGAGCAGGAGCGTGCGTGAGTAGGCGAGAGGCGTTGCTGACGACGGCAAGAAAGCGTGATCAGGCGTTGTGGAGCGAGAATCTGGGCTCGGGCGTGGCTGGGACGTGACGCGGAGTGAGCGTCATTGCCCGCCCAGGAAGGAAATGGAAACACATCGATCCAGATCGCCAGATCCATAGCAGCTGTTTTCAGCCACCCTGCCTCGGAACCAGCCAATCAGCGCTCTCTTCCTAAGCATACCAGCACATCCGACACTGCCGGCACCGTACCTCTGCTGTCGCACTTGCCCTGGCACTCGCTCGGGTGGTCTCGGAGCATGTATATAGTAGAGCACCGCTGTGTGGCATAAGAATGCAGACGGAGAGCGCGTGCGAGGGCGACAGCTCCCGCGGAGGCGGAATGCTCGCGGGGGAGGCCTGGGCGGGCGTCGTAAAACTGCTATAAATAAGCGCCCATAAACGGCCGATTGTACCGAGTTGGTAGTCATCAAGCGCACATGGGATGAACTCACAGGCACAGCACTTGTCTCTTATTCCTTAACCGACCCATATCAACTGTCACAATTACTCACCTTCCATTTCAAACACTCCCTCCCTTCCCAGCTCCCTGAGACCGCGTACACACACCGTCCTGTACTTGTAGCAGTAGCGAATGCATGATGCGATCGAGAGCACAGCAGCAGCAGAGAACACACATCTGAGTTGAGCATCCTCCGGGCGAATGGGAGAACGGCGAAAAGATGGGATGGAGGTCCAACGAGCGCGGGCAGATCATTGCAGCCGGCCGACATCGGCCATTTGCACAAGTGATGACGGATTCCTGTCTGCGTCCATGAGCCGTGAGACATGTCGCTCAATCGCTCCTCCCTTCTATAAGCCCTCCTTGATTTTCCATTATCCCCTCCGGTCCCCCTATACGCTCCTTCCCTCCTCCCTCCATCATCTCCTCCGTCGATCTCCTCGCCATGCATCCCTCTCTCGCTCACTGGGACCACCCCCAGCCTCTCGCGGCCTCGTCCAAGCAGCAGCAATCCAAGGACAAGACCGACCAGCAGAAGAAGCCCCGTCATCGCCATTCCGCCTCCCAGCTCGCCGCCCTCAACGAGCTCTACGACAAGAACGAGCACCCGTCGCTCGAGGAACGGACAGCGTTGGCACAGAGGCTCGGAATGTACGTACCCACACATGCTCTATAGCATTCGGGCGGCGTGGGGCAGTGGCAGCTCACCGCGCGCTTGTGGCCAATCATGCAGGGAGACAAAGACGGTCAACTCTTGGTTTCAAAATAAACGTGCCTCGTCAAAGAAGCGGCACAAAGCCCCCCTCAGTCAATGCGAGCTCCCTCCTATATCTGCCCTCATCGCCTCCGTTTCTGCACCCCCTGCACCGCTCCTCGAGCACCATCAGCACCTCGACTACGACGACTATTCGGACGACGAGTCCTATCACCCATTGTCACACCAATTAGGCCAAGGCGCGCTTCCGCCACAACAGCACACCCTCTTCTACGCCGGCAATCCTCAACACAAACACCTCTTCGAGACCGAAGGCTCCATGCCGCGCAAAGCCCGCT